CCCTGATAAAGTGTCATAGTCCTCAGACAGATCCCTATAATGGGTCTTGTAGGGAGCGGTGAGCATGACACAGGTATTTATGGCAGGTAATTAAAGGAATATTCCTCCCGTGAGTTATCCGCCGACAACTCTTCCTTGGTCAGGGAAGATTTCACCTTGATGCACACAGCCCTGAAACAGAGGAAATGTGCTGTGCAAATGCTTCAGAAGGATGTTCATATTCCGGACTGGGGGATTGATTCCTTGGAGCAGAGCTACTGTGTCTGCTCTCTTCATATGGTACTTGTGCGTCTGCTCTCTTCATATGGTACTTGTGCATCTGCTCTCTTCATATGGTACTTGTGCGTCTGTTCTCTTCATATCGTACTTGTGCGTCTGCTCTCTTCATATCGTACTTGTGCGCCTGCTCTCATCATATCGTACTTGTGTGTCTGCTGTCTTCATATCGTACTTGTGCGCCTGCTCTCTTCATATCGTACTTGTGTGTCTGCTCTCTTCATATCGTACTTGTGTGTCTGCTGTCTTCATATCGTACTTGTGCGTCTGCTCTCTTCATATCGTACTTGTGCGTCTGCTCTCTTCATATCGTACTTGTGCGTCTGCTCTCTTCATATCGTAATTGTGCGTCTGCTCTCATCATATGGTAGTTGTGAGTCTGCTCTCATCATATGGTAGTTGTGAGTGTGCTCTCATCATATGGTACTTGTGCGTCTCCTCTCTTCATATCGTACTTGTGCGCCTGCTCTCTTCATATCGTACTTGTGCGCCTGCTCTCTTCATATCGTAATTGTGCATCTCCTCTCTTCATATCATACTTGTGCGTCTCCTCTCTTCATATTGTACTTGTGCGTCTCCTCTCTTCATATCATACTTTCGCGTCTGCTCTCTTCATATCATACTGCTCTCATCTTAACGGAATTGTGCGTGTGCTCGCTATAACGTACTTAGCGTCCGCTCTCACCATATCCCACTTGTGGTCTCAAGCAGTACTTGTGCGCCTGCTCTCTTCATATCGTAATTGTGCATCTCCTCTCTTCATATCATACTTGTGCGTCTCCTCTCTTCATATTGTACTTGTGCGTCTCCTCTCTTCATATCATACTTTCGCGTCTGCTCTCTTCATATCATACTGCTCTCATCTTAACGGAATTGTGCGTGTGCTCGCTATAACGTACTTAGCGTCCGCTCTCACCATATCCCACTTGTGGTCTCAAGCAAGTTGCTACAACATAGTTACAAATATTTCAGTCACTCTTGCTGCGTTTTCATTGGACACCTCTGACTAATCCCATTTCATTCTCGGGGCCCCTGAAACACGTTGGCTATTTGATCATATTGCGAACAATTCAAGCTTTCCAGACTCTTTCTTTCTCCAATCGGTTTGTCGCTCGGTGCGCTTTTGTCGTGGTTTTCCCACCACCAGGGGAGTCTTGTTCCCACGAACATCCTCGACCTTTTCCGTGTCCCGCGCCTCCGACAGACTTCTCCCGAGGTGTGGCGGTTTACAATCCGCGCTCTATAATTATAACAATCATTTATTTTTTTGCACAGAACAGGCGATTCTGAGGCGCGGCCTGCCCAAACAAAAGCCGCCGGGTCGCGTTTCACCCAGGAATGTCTGGATTCCTGTGGGGACGGGTTAACCCTTCGCCTGCCACGGCCTTGCCCTCCTTGCAGGGTTTTTTTTCCCTTAGATTTCTGAGAAAGGAAAATTCCGGCTCAGTTTACGTCTCCCGAGCTTTCTCCTTCCAGGATCCTCATCAATAAGTAATTAGCGGGGTGCTGCCGCAGCCGAGTCCCGAGGTCAGGGAGACATTGCGCATCGTCAGGAATGGGTAGCGGTCAAATCGACCGCGCGTTAGACGATCGGTGTGCCGGGAAAGAACATTATTATTAAATGTGAAGGGATTGTAATAGAATACAAGCGGATTTCCCAGTGTACTTTCATCTAAATCCTGTGTCAGATTCCAGGGGGCTCCTCACATGTGCGCCGAGTGGCACCTCCGAACCCTGAGCTCTGCAAACTTCCTCTGCTTCCTGTACCGCCCGATTCATACTTCTAAAGCAAGTCTGAATCTGACTGGTGACTGAGAGAAGCTTCTAAATATGATGCATGCATCGGGCTTTCTGTATGTGATAGACAGCAGGGAGCCTGCGGGGGGGGGCGTGTCTGGGAATTACAAACACACAAGGGAAAGGGGTTCCCAGATCGTGGACGGAAGGCTTGGATAGCACACGGGAGCACTGAGCAGGGAGTCTATCCCTTCTGTGTGCATGTCTGGACTTTGTGACGTTCTGATCGGTGTGCCTGAGCAAACAGACGCTCCATTGTACAGCCGTTCACAAGTTATAAAAATAAACAAATGAGCAGATTATTGATGCAATGTGATACTAAGCTCGCTGTGGGTGGGGCCACGCTGACTAGTCCGCAGTTTCCAGAGCCGGCTGCTTTTCCACTGCAGATTACTCGGCGATGACAATATGCACTTTGTTCCATCCGCTGATCTCCTGCCTCACAGCTGTCATTTTCAGGCTGGCTCAGTCTCTGGCTACTGTCACTTCTTCCGTTATGTTGTAAAGTCCATCTCATAAAACGTGTGTCATCTCCAGCAGGGAGTTTTCTATTCCAGGGCAGTAAACTGAGTAACATAACAATGAATGCTTTGAAAGCAGCCCGCGCGTCATTGAGTAATCCGCAGTTGCCAATAAAAGGGATTAGCAATTGTTGCAGTACATGGCCGAAAAATCTATGGTCACCGGATCACCACGCCTACCGTAGATGAAGTTGTTGGACATTCAGTTCCAAAACCAAGGACATCGTTATAGAGTCCTTGCCGCCCCCCTCTTCTCCCTTCCGTTGCAGTTATAACAGCCTCCACTCCTCTGGGAAGGCTTCACACAGGATTTTTGGAGCGTGTCTATGGGACTTGGTGGGTACTGATGTTGGATGAGAAGACCTGGCTCCCAATTGAGATTCCAATTCATCCCAAAGGTGTCCAGTGGGACACTCAGATTCCTCCACATCAAACTGGTCAAACCATGTCGTTATGAAGCTGACTTTGTACAAGGGGACCAGAAAAGGGCCTTCACCAAACTCTTACCACAATGATGGAAGTCATAATTATCTCCTCCTCATCAAACCAAGCTGATCAACCAGGTCTTTATGGAGCTGGATCTTTGCACAGTTAGGGCTGTCAAAAGGGGAGTACATGCAGTACTTCTGTACCCAGCCTGGGCCTCATCAGAGGGGCCCAGAAGGAGCTGCCTGTGGGTGCCCTCAGTAAGTCCATTAAGGTTTACTCAGGCCATGTATGGACAGTTGAGCCTGATAGTGTCACGCCTCCACCAATCAGCTGCCACCCCAACCAGTGGGGAGGAACATGCTTTTGAAGACCACCTTCAAGTGCAGCCACCTAAGTAGGGAGCTCTCCCAATGCTTCCTGGCCAGTAAACATTCTGCTCTTCATCTACGAAAGCATGCTCTGGTGGTGAGGCGAGGTGGTCCCCGGGTCACTGGAGCTGGTGAACAGGCTGCAGCGGATCAGCTCGAGGGTCTGATGCCTCACTGACAACAGCACGAAAACCCACATCATGTATTCTGACGAGCTGGACCCCTTGAGCTTCTTGGCCAAGCTCGAAGAGGTGGTCAGTACCCTTCCGGGGGGAAAGGACAAGGATGGTGTAGGGGGAATTCTAATGGCATGCTGCAACAGAAAAGGGTCTGTCTACTATGTCTTTGTAGGACCGTCACTGGAAACACGTGAAGTCAATGATTCAGAAGTAGTCCACATACCGTTGGCCATAAAGTGTATAAACTGTGATTCAAGAACAAGAGATCCATAAACAGAGACTTTATTTATGTCTGTTCAGTGCTCTGATCATTCTGTTTCTTTCCTCAGGATAATATCAAAACTTTACGAATGACTCTACGTGAGGAGCATTCCCCTGAGAGGACGGAGACCATCAAAGTGAAGGTGAGGACCTAGAGGTTGGTGGGAATTGGGGGGGGAGGGGTGGGGGTGTTTGCTTGGAAATCTCCTATAAATACCGCGTGCGTGACGCATTCCGTCTCCCCTGCTGATGCCTGGCTGATGACATCGTAGCCGTCTGTTGACATTTTTGTCCAGTTTGTCACTGTTACCCAATCGGCCTTCCAGTCTTAAGGAGGCATCTAAATATATCTCCTGGTTCAAGTGACACGGGGACCCCCCCAGCGTAAACAGCTGTCACTAATTATTTTTCCTTTCTATGTCTACAGCCGGTGGGACGCGCGTTCGCTCTTATATCGTTGCGCCCAACCCGTGGCTCTCGGCCCCTCAACTCCGAACTGGTCACGTCCAGCGATGGCGATGAAGAGATCATTAAGGTAATGACCGTCTTATGCCTCCGTGATAAAACGTGACACAGATGATGCAACAGATGATAATATTTCACCGGGAATACTTTAATGAAGGTAAATGGGCTCTCCACCCAAATTATATATTTCAGTAATCGATGGAGTCTGCTGGGCTGAGACAGCCTCCGTCTTCTTAAAAATGCAACAAGGTCTTTCTGCCATAATTCCCAGGCCCTAATCTTAAAAAACGGGGAGTCGCCCACCCACCCTTGTGTGTCCCAGATTCTCATCTTGCATATAAATAAAGAATTCAGCGCAAGGATGGTGGGAGCCCCTCATAATGGGCACAGCAGGTGTACACTCCCAGGAAATCAGCACAGGGATAATGGGAACCCCTCATAATGGGCACAGCAGGTGTACAGACCCGGGAACTCAGCACAGGGATGGAGGGAACCTCTCATAATGGGCACAGCAGGAGTACAGACCCGGGAACTCAGCACAGAGATGGTGGGAACCCCTCATAATGGGCACAGCATGTGTACAGACCCGGGAACTCAGCACAGGGATGGTGGGAACCCCTCTTAATGGGCATAGCAGGTGTACAGACTAGAGGTGCACCGAAATAGAAATTTAAGAAACAAAACGAAACCGAAATAGAAAAAATTGTCAGGCCGAAACTGATACCGAAAATGGTTTTATTTTAAAAATTTTTT